AAACCACATTGCCAGGAAAAATGTAGTTTTGAGGCAGAAATGAGAAGATCCTACTCCATAAATCAAGGATGAAACTAGAAATTTCTGTTGATAGATTCTTGAAAAACTCAAAACATTGAATCATTTTGTTCAGTTTTCTTCCCCCCCCGAAAGGTGCCAAACCTTGCCTACGTTGCCTGTGTGTGTCTTTGCCATTAGCCTTCAAAACGCAGCTCCCAGTGGTGCTGGTGCTTCCTCTTACTCCCTTGGGAGACTTGAGGGTCTTCCAGGGCGGAGGGGAGGCAGCGGTGCTGTCAGTGGCTGTGCGAGGCTGGGTGACTCTGCCCGGCAGAGGTCAGAGCCGTCGGCTGGGGCACGTTGCCACAGCGACCTAGACATTTTTGGATGGAGGTACCAGGCAAATTTTTTGCTGAGTTTTGTACTCGCCTGGAAACCCAGTTATAGGAATGCACACTCACTTTTTTATTAATTGGTGTTGGACACACAGCACGTGGCAGGGTCCTAGGGCCTAGGTGTGTGGGGGAAGCTGAGACCGCTGACCTTTAACCCTTTGCAGCTCTGTGCCGCCTGCCACTCAGTGTGTTCTTTGCTTTGATGCCAGTGGAGTGGCCAGCTGGCCTGTGTGGCTGGTCTCATGGGGCCGAGGGGGCCAGAGTCGCTGGGCTGGGTGTGGGGCGTCACAGCTGTTTGGCCTCTCAGCCCCCGGCCAATGTCGCCCGGGTGTCTTGCCCAATGCTGGGTGGTTCCCACCTACACCACATCTGCACCGGGGCCTCCCTCAGGGAGGAGACTCGAGCTGGACCCAGGCTGTGACCCTGTGCCCTGCTGCGTGCCGCCCCCGCCCCTCCACCCCCCCCAGCCAAAGGCGGGACCCAGGGTCTGTGTCCTGAGGGGCTCTAGGCCAGCCCCACCTCACCTGTTGCACTGCCACTGCTCAAACCCGATTTGAGATAACTTTGTGGGTATTTTATGCCAGAGTTTCAGAGTCCTGTATTTCCTTGGCACTATTTCCAAATCTAAGGGGTCAGCTGCTGCTGCTCCCATTCAGAGCTGCTCCCCAGTGCCCGCCCCTCCCTGCGCCTCACAGCGCTCACCCTGCCGTGCTCCAGCCATCCCTGCCCTGGACGGCCAGCTGCCCCAGTCCTGGTCCTCCGCCCTGTCACTGACCTCGCCCTGCTCCACGCCAGGGTAAACCCCAGGTCTCCACCCAACCTGTCAAACTCCCCACTCCGTCCTTCCTGCCTGGTTACACCCTGAGATGAGGGGACCCTGGCAGTGTTCCCAGCTGAACCTTGCTTTCCCACAGTTACACGTCGCTCGAGGCCTCCCTGTAGCATCCAATGTGTCAGTACCCCCTCCATCCCCAACAGATGTGCCCTCCCCCCATTGTCTGCCTGCTTGTCGTCAGTCCGTGACACGCCACGTATGTGATGAGGAGGTGCTTGGAGTGGCACCGTTCTGCGTGTGGCCACGCACTTCGTTTCCGTTTTCACATGTGGTTTAGAGCTGGGTGTCCGACAGAGGTGCCCGAAGTGGAAAGCGTCGTGCACTCGGCCCACCTGTGGCCCCTGCAGAGCTCCGGCTGTGGCACAGGCTCCCAAGAGCCGGGGATGGAGGAGGCGCGGATTTGCCGTGTGCTCCTTCGCTGCTTGCCCAAGGCTTGGCTTTCCTGGTGGTCACCTGGTTGGCGTGAACCTTGAGCTTGCGCCAGGGTCCCCCTGCTGTCGTGGAGGGCAGGCAGGTGGGTGGATGCTTGGGAGTTACCAGTCAAGTCCCTGCGCCGGGCAGACCGTTTCCTGCAGGTCAGGAGTTTTCAAGGCCTCAGCCTGGTAGGAATAGTTGAGAAACACTGGTTCAGGCAGCTTGCTTTATTCACAGCCCTGAGACACCTCTGGGACAGCCCCTGAGGATATTTTTTCCGGAACTTTCTCGGGGCCTGTGTTGTGATGAGTGGGAAATGCAGTTTGGCAGGTCCTCACAGAAGAGCCCACCAGTGCGGATGCTGGCTGCCTCCTCCAGTGGGCACCAGCCCAGGTCTGGGGCAGGAACGTGGGTGGCTGCGGATCCATGCAGGACAGAGCGACTGCCTCAGTGCATGGTGGAACTGAGTACAGAGCTCCTCCCCTGCCCCCTTTCCAAGTGCAGCCTTGCCCGGCCTATTCCCAGGCATCACTGAAAAGTTACTGGCGGGTTTGCACATCGGCAGGAACGTCTGCTCTCCTTTCCTTCCTCGGGAAGAAGTTCCTCTCTCCAGGGGCTCCACCTCCCTGGGCGCCCTCATCCCCAGCCTCATGGTCTGAGTCAGAGTCTCTGCGGCTGATAGGGACTTGCTCCCTCTCCTGCCCCTATCCCTGCACCCAGCCCAGCTGCGGTCCCAGGCCCAGATGCACGGCGCTCCAGTGGGCTTGCCCCATCCTGTGGAACAGAGTCCAGAAACCTCAGTGTGCTCGTCATCAGGCTGGGTTCCGAATGGCGTGCTGTCGCTGTGGGACCTCGGGAACCCAGGTGCTTCTGTATGTCCTCTGCCCCCACCTGCTGTGTGATGGAAGTCCAGCCCCTAAACTGCCCCTACCCCTGCCCAGGTCTCACTTTCTCCTCTGTAAATGGCACCTGGACCCAAGGGCCAGTAGCCCCTTTGTCAGCGTTCTGATGTCAATGCACGTACTTCACAATGCTCTGCTCTTTCTGTCCATCACCAAAAGACTAACGTTTGTTCCTTGGAAGACTACAGTTCACCCTTGAACAATGTGGGTTTGAACTATGAGGATCCACTTATACGTGGATTTTTTTCAATAAAAATTATACTGAGCATGCCTGCCTCCTCTTCCACCTCCTCTCTCTCTCCTGCCTCTGCTGCCCTGAGACAGCAAGGCCAGCCCCTCCTGTTCCTCCTCTTCCCCCCAGCCCCAGTCAGCATGCGGACAGTGAGGATGAAGGCCTGGGTGACAATTCACTTCTGCTTAATAAAGATCCGCTTCTGCTTAATGAATAGCAGCCGTATTTCCTCCTGCCTGTGCCTTTCTGAATACCACATTTTCCCTCACTTACTCTGTTAGAGGAATACAGTAGATGGTACGCACCACAGCACATGAAATACCTGCTCACTGACTGCTCTCGGTAGGGCCACTGGTCAACAGGCTATTAGTAGTTAAGTTCTGGGGAGTCAGAGGCTGTACGTGACTTCAGCTGCACGTGACTTCAGCTGCACAAGGGGTCAGTGCCTCTAACCCCTGTGGTGCTGAAGGGCCAGCTGCACAATGAATGAATCCCCGGGACCGCGCCGGGCCCGCGTCCGACACCTGGACTCAGAGGCCTCTGCAGTAGGGGCCGTCGGGTAAAGAAACCCCACAGTCCAGCAGGACGTTCTGACTCTGGCCATATTCCTTCTAGTATAGCATCTGTTTCTGACTCTAGCCATATTCCTTCTAGTATAGCATCTGTTTGAGACAACAAAATCCCGAGGCAGAAGGTTGACGCTCCTTGGGTTCATTCTCATGGCTCGGCTGGTACCCCGAGGCTGATCCCCCAAGGCTGGTGTGCTCGCAGGTGGTGGTTGGCAGGGTTGCCAGGCTTGTCTGTAAAGGGACAGAGGGGATGGGTTTTCAGCTTTGGGGGGCACACCTGGTCTCGTCACAGCTGTTCAGCATGGCCCTTGGGTCATGACAGGCCAGCATGTGGCAGGCCTGCAGGCCTGTAGATGCCCACTGAAGATGGAGGTTCCTAGAATTGTCGTGTAGCACAAAATTTTTTTTGCATTTTTTTCTGTCATTAAAAATCATTTAAAAGCCATTCTCAGCTCACAGCTGTACAAAAGCAGCCAGCAGGTTTGATCTGGGCGCCATACTTTGCTAACCTCAGTGTAGAGTAAACTATACTTTGTGTCTTTAAAAGGCTTCTCTTCTAGCATTGCAGGTGAACTTTGTTTAGAAACATAACTGTTTTTAAAAGCACATGTAGGTGAAGTCTAGTCTTTAAAGCACTTGCAGGTGAAATCCCTGGTCTAGGGCTGTCTCTGCAGTGTCTTTGCAGGGGCCATGCTTGCTCTGTGCAGTGCTGCTGTCATCCAGGGCAGGTCCCACAGGAGGCCCGCTGTGGCCAGGCTCCATGGGGTGGGGCGCCCTGGGACAGGGGCTGCTCCTCTTCCCAGGGCCACCAGTGAGACTCTCAGTGTGTAGAGTGCGGTTCTGTGTGGAAGTTGTGGGGTGCATCTCCTGGCCCTCCCATAGTGGGACGCAGCCTCAAGTGAAGACCCCACAGCCCATGTCGAGTGCCTCAGAGCTGGGGCCGCCCACCTGCCTGCCTGGGCCCTCTTGACCCCAGAGCTGCCTGCCTGGCTGTTGGAGCGCCTGGTGGATTGAGTGGGAAGTGGGTGTAGGTGCTCACAGGCGATGGGGTCACCAGAACCCACCCAGGGGCCCCTCACCTGTCCCCCATTCTCATCCCACACTCTGGGAGGCGGTAGAAGGTCGGGAGGGCCAGCGGGACTCTGCCACCAGGACTCACTTCCGCCCCTCTTGGAACTGGGCCTCGCTTTCCTGCGAGCTTCTCCTGAGTTCTCAGTGCCCACCTTTGCTCTCCCTGAGGCCTTGAGGTGACTCTGCCTTGGGAATGGGGAGGGTTTGGGTCTCAGCCTCCCTCATGGTGCTGGCTTGGATCTGAGCCCTGACTGGCGCTCTGGGAGCCTGTGCTCCTCATGGTTGCCGTTGGGATTTTTCCAGGAGGCCCTGTGGCATTGGCTTTTGCTCTCTCTGGAAGCTCTGCCTTGCTTTTTTTTTCCCCTTTTGTCCGCTCTGTAGGTGCTTGAGGGGGAGTTACAGATCTAGCAGAGGCTCAGTGACACTCTCCCTGGACCTGACGCGACCCAAGAGTGATGGGGAGACAGGATGTGCCACCGAGTCCTCAGTGTGGCCCTGAGGCCGTGTCCCTGCCGCTCAGGGTGTGCAGTCTGCGGAGCCGCGTGGGTTGTGGGCCATACCACTGACGGGACTGTGTCTCTCCAGGTGCTGCAGGGCGCACAGCTGATCGCCGTGGCCTCCTCGGACCCCGCGGCGGCGGGCGTGGATGGATCGCCGCTCCAGGGCAGCGACATCCAGGTTCAGTACGTGCAGCTGGCGCCAGTGAGCGACCACACAGCCGGGGCGCAGGTGAGTCTGGGGCCCCGCGCTGGGACACTGAAGTGATGGCACGGCCGCCTGCCGCTGCCACCGGGCACACATGGCCCCGGGGCTTTCTTGTGACTCCTCCCGTGCGGAGGGCATGTGATCGGACACGGATGCCCATCTGAGGGTTCCACGTCTCCCACGCACCATGAATGTGAAGGTGAGAAGGTAGATCCTGCCCCAGTTCTAAATTTCGACTGATTCTGGAGACTGTCCTGTGGAAATGTTTGTCAGTTCAGGGGCAGAAGTGAAGCTCTGCCCTGTGCTCCCTCCACGGAGCCCTTTCCTGTGGGCTGGGGAGCATGGGGGCCCTGTCAGCTCGAGAGCTCCCTGCCCCTTGTCAAAGGCCTCAGCTTGGGGCAGAGCCAGCACCTTGGGCCATCATGACCCTGGCGTCCGCCGAAACAAAGTGCAGGTCTGCTGTGCTCTGTGGATGGCCTGGTAGGCTCATGGCCAGCATCTCCAGACCTCGCAGGCGGAAGCGCCTGAGGGTGCGGCTGTGCTGATATCCCCAGGGTGGCCGAGGCCCAGACAAGAGCCCATGATGCCACGTGCTGTTCGCTCTGAACACAGGAGGCGGAAGGTGGCCCTGTGTCCCGGAGCAGGCTTGGTCCCGCAGCTTCCGTGCCGCCTGGTTTGGGAACATGCCCAACCGGGACCTTTTCCTTGTTCTACCTCCAGCTGGGGGGTTGACTGCTGCCCAGCCCTTTGGGGAACATTCTGGCTGCTGTCTCTGGGTCTGTTCCTCTCCTTCCTGTGGACCCAGCACTGGTGATCCACCTGTGTCTTGATGCCATCCATCTTCAATGCTTAGAATTAAAATCCTAGATGTCTGAGCAGCCTTTCCCTGCTCCCCGGGCGCTGCTGAGGGTGGGTGTGCCCGTCAGCCCTCGGGAGGAGCGGAGTCCTCCTCAGGAGGCGCATGCTGAAGAATTGGGCTCAGTAGAGCCTACGCTCACCAGGGTGTGCAGGTCGCCCGGCTGGGCAGTTCTGCAGCCCCTCAGCCGCAGCAGCCACGCGACGGTGTCAGTGCTCACCTGACACTCACGTCTTCTTCACAGCACGGCAGCTGCGGGCCCAGAGTTTAAGGGCCCATGTCCTGTAGAAGGCCTGGCTCCTCCTCCAGCCTGAGCCTTCCTGCCGTGCCGATGGGCGCGGTGGTCCCCGCACAGGCACGCCCTGTACTCTGTGCCCATGGGTGTGGTGGCCCCCGCACGGGCATGCCTTGTACTCTGCATGATGTTTGGTTCTACACTGTCGCTGACCCCACTGGATATGGGCTGGTAGCACATGAGGGTCATGGGCACAGAATGGGCAGGCGGGAGGTGGGGGGTGGGTGGGATGGTGAAGGCAAACTCGTTGAGCAGCGCTTATTTTATGTGGTGTGAACCTTGACCTGCCCGTGAAGAACAGCGAGGCGTAGTCAGCCCATGCTAGGACGCATGGCGGCCCCTTGTGCTGTTCCAGACAGGAGCGCTGCAGGAGGGCAGTTAGGTCCGCGCCTGGGAATCTAGATGTGGGGGCCATGTCTAAAAGCTTCTGCTGCATTATAAGTTTCTGGTCATTTCCAGATTTCACAATTGAAGAAACCTGTGTCCCATGGTTGGTGTTTACACCCCTAGCTTCCTGTAAGCTTTCTCTGTCACCATGCCCTCCCTGGCAGGCCCCAGGTGAATGATTTAATTAGGATCCATCGTAACAGCGAAGGAAGACAGTGTGCTTAACGGGCCGCTTTCCCTGCAGAAGACCCCAGTGTGGTTGGACTTGGTGGTGAGCAGGTTTGCCTGTCCGAGGCCAGGCAGCTGCAGGGTGCGGTAGCTTGTCACCAATTGCACAGCTCTCTGCCTTACCATCTCAGCTTGTCCTCAGGCTAGCTCTGCCCCACTGGGAAGTGGACCGAAGGCCTTCATGGTGGCCCTGCAGGCGTGACTGTACCCAACGGAGACGGGTTTCTGGTTGAGCCTCCTTATCCACTGAAGCTCCCACCCCAGCAATGCTCGGGAATGGCCTGGCATCTTCCGTTGGTCAGAGCAGGGTCACACACATGAGCTAATTCTAGGAAAACCTGTGGCTCGGCTGTGAGGGCCTGGCTCTGAGAAGATGGGGTTCCCTTAGGAGGGAAGGCAGGTCGCTGGCCTGTGGGGGTGGCCAATCCTCAAAGTGGAGAGTGGGGCCTGTTCCCTGGAGCAGTGGATTGGAAGGGTAGGGGGGTGCTATTTGCAGGGAAGACACTTGTCTTAATGCAGGGTGGCCTGCGGGTGTCATAGGCTCCCTGAACCATCTGTAGCAGGGGCAGTGCCTCCACCAGCCTCTGCCTGGAACATGGGTCTGGCCACCATCCTTGGAGGGCAAGTGAGTCCCTCCCAGCCAGCCCAGACCTGTGCCCCACTGTCCTCACCCACCCTGGTCCCTAGCTGTCTTTCCAGCTGTCCGGGGGAAGGAGTGTTGCATCCCAGGCAGTGGCCCCCCTACCCCAGCCTCCTGTGGCCTGCAGCCACCCACCCCAGGCCCTGGTGTGGTTCCTCCATTCCAGCTCAGGTTCGCCCCTTCCCCAGGCCCTGGTGTGGTTCCTCCGTTCCAGCTCAGGTTCGCCCTTCCCATTAGGCCTTCCCAGCTGTGGCTGGGCTCTCAGGAGACAGTCCCTGCACTGACCCCTCATCCTACCCTGGAAGGCCCCTTCTCCATCCAGGAAACAGTATATCGAGTGTCATTTGACATTTGTCTTGAAAAAGCACAACCTAGACCAGGTGTGGTGTTTCATGCCTGTTATCCCAGTGCTTTGGGAGGCTGAGGCAGGGGCGTTGCTTGAGCCCAGGACTTCAAGATCAGCCTGGGCAATGTAGCAAGACCCCCATCTCTACAAAACGTAAAAAAATTAGCTGGGGCCAGGCACGGTGGCTCGTGCCTGTAATCCCAGCATTTTGGGAGGCTGAGGCAGGCCAATCACCTGAGGTCAGGAGTTCGAGACCAGCCTGCTCAACCTGGTGAAACCCCATCTCTACTAAAAATACAAAAATTAGCCAGGCATGGTGGCAGGTGCCTGTAATCCCAGCTGCTTGGGAGGCTGAGGCAGGAGAATCGCTTGAACCTGGGAGGCAGAGGTTGCAGTGAGCCAAGATTGCACCACTGTACTCCAGCCTGGGTGACAGAGTGAGACTCCATCTCAAAAAAATTTAGCCGGGCGTGGTGGTGCGCACTGGTGGTCCCAGCTACTTGGGAGGCTGAGGTGGGAGGATCACTTGGGCCCATGAGGTCGAGGCAGCTGTGAGCTGTGTTTGCACCACTGCACTCCAGCCTGGGCAACAGAGCAAGACCCTATCTCTAAAAAATGGAGCAGGACCTTAACTATAGTAGAAGTCACCAGGTGTCTTCCTCTCGTGGGGTTGGCCGTGGGCTCGTGGCTTCTCCTGGCTCTTCCTTTGTGTGCCCTCCAGCTGAAGCTTCTGGGAGTGTGTGCACGGAAGCCCTAGAGTGGGCTCCTCCACTTGGGGCATGTTCCGTGTGGCTGAGCTGGAGGATGAGTGACTTATTCCAAGATTATATATTTTTCCTTTACTTTTATTTATTTATTTATTTTTGAGACGGAGTCTGGCTCTGTTGCCCAGGCTGGATTGCAGTGGTGCAGTCTCGACTCATTGCAGCCTCTGCCTCTTGGGTTCAAGCGATTCTCCTGCCTCAGCTTCCCTAGCAGCTGGGACTACAGGTGTGCACCACCACACCTGGCTAATTTTTGTATTTATTGTAGAGACGAGGTTTAACTGTATTGGCCAGGCTAGTCTTGAACTCCTGACCTCAAGTGATTCACCCACCTCAGCCTCCCAAAGTCCTGGGATTATAGGCATGAGCCACTGCACCCAACCGCCTTTAACTCATTTTAAGATAAAGCTGTGATTGTGTACTTAAGTCCTTTTAATATCTGTAACTCATTGACCAGACCTTATATTTAACTTTGAGGGAAGAAACATAGCTGCCCCGAAAATCCTTTGTTGAAACATTGGGACAGTGTTTATAGGAAGGCAAAATGGTCCCTGAAGCTTCAGGGAAATTTCTTAGGGAGGGCCAGGATGTTCTCTACTTTCGGGTTACTTCCCAGTGAGGCGGCGGGTTCCGGGTGGAGAGGCAGGAGCAGGAGCAGCTGCCGCTCCGGCCGGGGTGGCCGAGGCCATGTTGGGGGCGGGCCGGGGCCTGGATGGGCCGGAGCTGCCCTGTGGGCACGTCCTTCCGCTGGGGGAGAGGCGTTCTGTACCAAGTCGGGTGAGCCTTGGGGCCGTCAGGGCTCCTTCGCGCTCCTGTGTGCTCTTTCTGATTCTGCCTGAATGTTGCTGGCTGTTCATGACACCCCCTGGCCATGCAGTGCTGGGTATTTTTCTAGAAAGTTCCTCCTTTCTCCCTTTTGCAGACGGCCGAGGCCCTGCAGCCCACGCTACAGCCGGAGATGCAGCTCGAGCACGGGGCCATCCAGATCCAGTGAGCGGTGCCCGCGGCACGAGGAGCGCCCGGCACCAGGAGCCCCTCGCTGGCTCCGCCCATGGCCCGGCCCCCATGCGCCCTGCTCTCTCGGCCTCAGCACAGGCAGGGCTGCGCGGGTTCTGCTGAAGTGCGTCTGAAGGCTGCTGCCTCCGCGGGGAAGAGCGCCCTATCAACTGAAAGAGCACCGCCGCCGCCCCCAGCCGGAGACCTTCGTTTGAGTCACGCTGTTGGTGTCGGAGGACGGAGGGGAGGCACAGTGCGGAGAGCGTCGCGTATGCGCGGGAAATCAAGAACTATGATATTTTTCTGTTTAAACAGCTTTTTTTAATTTGCTATGGTGTTTATAACAAAAAAGAAAATTTGAAAAAAAAAATCCCAGGGGAGTAGCAGGAGCCCTTTGCTGTGTGCTCTGTCCGCTGTCATGAGACAGGAGCCCTTTGCTGTGTGCTCTGTTCAGTGTCATGAGGCAGGTGTTTGCAAAGCCAGCTCTCCGTTCCGGTGGGGTATTGCTGACCTACTTTTCTAGGGGAAATGCTCTCAAACACTGTAATTATGCATTTCTAATTAAATAAAATGTATTTATGACCACAACAGCCTTACGCTCTTCCTCCTGCGAGACGGTTCGCCAGAGTGCCTGGCGGGGTGGGCTTGCTGGGCGTCAGGCCACGCTGCTACCCTGTCCACTGTGCAGACAGTAGGTGTGGGCGCCCCGGGACAGTCTGAGTTCTGTTTCCGTGTCGTGGCTGTCGAGGGGAAACGTGGTTTAGGACACAGCTACGGAACGTCTTGTTCTCGTAAACCACAGAGCGCTGCCAGCTCCAGAAGGCACAGTCCTGGGGTCCTTAGAGAAAGTTGTAGCCACAGGGGCAGACCCTACTACTTACAAATTTTTTTAAGGCAGAGAAAATACCTGCAAATAGAAGTGCTAGAGGCAGTTTGAATCTCTGGTGACCAGCCAGGCCTGGCCTGCTTCACCCACACCGTTGCAGCAGTTGCGTTGGGGGCTTGGGAAGGGCCTACGTGGAGCCAGGTTCGCCGACTTAGAGCAGGGCTTCTCTGTGCGTTCTCTGGGAGGAGTTCCGCGTTGCCATCCAGACGGTGGTGGCTCCAGCCTGCCCCACCCTGTCGGGAGCCTGGACTGGGTCCCCTTGGGGGTGAGGGTGTAGGATGAGCTGCCCTCGAAAGGGGGGCTGCGCTCTTGGGTTCTGTGTCTCCATCGCTGGGGGGCCGCTTCCGAAGATGGCCGCCACAAGGAGCCGGGCCAAGGCCTCCCTGGAGGTCACCAGAGCGCGGCCGCTCTCCAGGAGGCAGAAGGGACCAGCTGGGAGGCGGGGTGTAGAATGTCAAATCCACACGCATCTGACTGGAATCCCAGAAGGAGAGAATGGAGAAAACAGAAGGAAGATGCATTTCAAGGATTCAGGAAGTAGAACAGAATCCCAAGTAGGAAAAACGAACATCAGTCTCTGCTTCGACACGCGCAAGTATCACAGGCAAAGATCATTTTGACAGCAGCCAGAGAGAAAGGACAGATGCCTGTGATGGGATGAAAGCAAGGCAGCAGGCGTGGGCACCCACTGGGTGCTGAGTGGAGGGGGAGCCACTGGTGCAGAGGAGAGAGCTCTTGGTCTGGGGCTGGGTCTTCAGTGAACCTGTTGTTCAAGATGCTGGTGACACGCTACCAGCTGACTCAGCAGTTCCACTCATAGGATCCACCCCGGAGCCCTCAAGACAGCTGCTCACAGGTGCACCTGTGCTTAGATGTGCCTAGCAGCACGGCTCATACCAGCCACAGGGTAGACGCAACCTGTGTTTCCATCAGCAGATGAAGGGAGAAACAAAGCCGACTGTCCGAAGAATGGGACGTCATCCAGCCACGTGAACAGAACACAGAGGTGTGCTGAGCAGAGTCTCCAAAGAATGGGACGTCAATCCAGCCACGTGAAGGAATGGAGCACGGATGCGTGCTGCAGCCCGGCCAGCACTCGGAGGAGCTGTGCTGAATGAAGCCATGTGCAGAGGACCACTTACTGTTTGATTCCATTGATATGAAATGTCCAAAAAAGACAATTGCAGAGAGACCGATTTGTGGTTGCCAGGGACTGAGGTGAGGCAGGATTGGAAGTGACTGCGAATGGGCAGGGGGTTTCTTTTTGGGTGATTAGAATGTTGTGGAATTAGTGGTGACGTGTGCACAACTCTACACTGAAAGTCACTGAATCCTTCACTTAAAAGGGTGAATTTGTTGGCATATAAATTTTCTCAAAATTACAAAAATAAATAATTAGGTGGTATGTAAACAAAAATTTATAAACAAAAATTGAGGCTGGGTGTGGTGGCTCATGCCTACAAGCCCAGCGCTTTGGGAGGCTGAGGTGGGAGGATTCCTTGAGCCCAGGAGTTAGAGACCAGACTGGGCAATATAGTGAGACCCCATCTCTACAAAAAAAATACAAAAACAATGAGCTGGGTGTGGTGGCACGCACCTGTGGTCCCAGCTACTTGAGTTCCTGAAGCGAGAGTATTGCTTGAGCCCAAGAGGTTGAGCTGAAGTGAGCTATGATTATGTATTGCCAACTGTTACTCCAGCCTGGGTGATAGGACAAGAACCCGGTCAAAAAAAAAAAAAATCAATTCTGATGGCACCTTCCTTTACAGGGAATTGTTAAGGGAATATCTTCTTCAAGAGCAGGAATTATGGAATCGCAGGGAGGTCAGGAGGGTGCCTGGAAGTAAAGATGGAGCCGGTGGAGCCAAAGAGAAAATAAAACATACATAAAATTGTTTCATGAAACTAAAACAAAATACTGGGAAAAAACTTACTGGTGTAACTTGCCATGGACGAAGGAGGGGTGAATTGTTTTAAACCCCTGTATTGCCCTACAGAAAAAGGCTGGAAAGGACTGTGCAATTTATTTATTTG